GGGGGGGGTAGATAAATTTATGAAACTAGATCTATCCGACATTTTGCTAGGTGGATAACTTCTGGAATTTCCGTGTAGCTTTTGTTTATTTCGTAATGTTTTGATTGGTTCCGAGGGTTTTTTTCCCCCTGAGTCATGGTCAGCTGAGGTGTTAACCCACCACAAGAGTGGACTGTGGCATTAGTTTTAGCATACAGCCGTCAGTCCCAGATTCTGACCCTTACCGCTAGATTTGTGCTACCGTATGCCAACTGCCGTTTTTTACGACTTGGACGTATACCTCTTTGAAAGCTCTGAATTCTGGTAGTGAAAAGGGAAATTTGGTACAAAATGAAACTGAAATATAAAAGAATAAACGAAAATGTTGGGATGTAAGGGAAGATTTTTCAATAGTTTTAACAGCTGCTGTGGCAAAAAGCTTTCGAGGTTGGATATTGGAGGTAGTACAAGACAGCGCTCGGCCAAACGTTATGGTCCGGCGCTTTTTTTTTTTTTCGTTCACACCAGGCGAGGCGTGTTTGACTTACTGCTTGACAGGGTTCAGTCTGGAGAGAATAGCTACTGCGGGAGTAAGGTGGCGGGGGTGGGGGGTGCAAATCGGGGCAGGGGTGGTGGGGGATATCAAAGGCGGTGGGGTGGAGTGGGGCTGGTTCGCGTTTAGTCACAGAGCCGAATCGGGTGCTATGTTTTCTTAACTGCGTTGCTGTTATATTACAGGTTTGGGTTTTGACTCAAGAAGTTTGGATTTTTCCGTAATCTGCAATAATTTTGCCCCCCCCCCCTTTTTGTGTTCAGCTTTAAAAATCTATTTCATACCGATAACCTTATTAGTCCGTCTATTTTTTTTAAATATACGTATAATCATGTGTTACATAAAAATATGTATCACATATACAGTGTCTGTTCTAGTGTCTATATGTATGTGTGTGTTTGTTTATGTGAGTGTAGATGTGTTTGTGTGTGTGTGTGTGTGTGTGTGTGTGAGAGAGAGAGAGAGAGAGTGTGTGTGTGTGAGAGAGAGAGATACAAAGAGAGAGAGAAAGAGAGAGTCTCTGTGTGTGAGAGAGAGACACAGAGAGATTGATATTGGGAGAGAGAGAGAAAGAGAGAGAGAAATTAAAGATAGATAGATAGATAGATAGATAGATAGATAGATAGATAGATAGATAGATAGA